ATAATATATATATATATTATATATATATATATATAGTATATATATATATATATATATATATATATATATATATATATATATATGTATATATATATATATATAATATATATTATATGTATATATATTATATATATATATATATACTATATATATATATATGTAATATATGTATATATATATGTATATATATATATATTATATAATATATATATAAATACTATATATATATATATATATTATATATATGTATATATATATATGTATATATATAACTATATATATGTATATGTATAATATATATATATATATATATATATATGTATATATATATATTATATATATATATATATATATATATATATATATACTATATATGTATATTTATATATATATATATATATATATATATATATATATATATATATATATATATATATATATATATATATGTATATGTATATATGTATACTATATATATCATTAATATATAATATATATGTATATATGTATATATATATGTATCTATGTACTGTTATGTATGTATGTATATAATATATATATATATATATATATATATATATATATATATATTTATATATATTATAATATATATAATATATATTTTATATATAATTATATATATATATATATTATATATATATAATATATATATATACACACACACCACACACACACACACACACACACACACACACACACCACACACACACACACACACACACACATATACATACATGATAAATTAAACTTGCTGAGTGATTTACAGCAAGTGTTTCCACACGTCTATGCATTGGCAAAGGCCAATCCTTATTTACATTAGTCATATTGTTTTTTCCATTACTATGCCTCCCCAATATGTTGCTCTTAATATTTATTGATTTCCACATGGCAAAGTGACATTTACACACTCCTGAAGGTATTTATGATGCCGATATGAACTGAGGTGGGTCGCCACGATGAGCATTACGAGTGGTTTCGGGCTCCTGCAAATGTCTCTCGTGCAAAGATGTATTTACGACCTCAGGAGTGTTTTGAAAATACACTCGTTGCGAGAAAAGAGAGAGTAGCTAGTTTTACGATATGAACAAACCACGTACGATATCATAAGGCATTAGTAAATCCGGCCCCAGTACTATAAAATAAATTTGTTTATTATTAGCCTTTTTAATTTTACTTGTTTGTTTCAAAACCATTAATCTGCATTATAGATTTCCCTAATCAGTTATATACAGGTATAAATGAAAACTACAAATAATCATAAACTATAAAATGTTATAGGAATATAATTTCATGATATTTGCTATTCCATGAGACCTATAGTCATTTTCAAGGGAAGTCTGGCATGAATAAGTAAACAGCCTATAACATATATGGATAAAACAGTATCTTCTGCTTTGAACTTTATCAACCCTTCGTCCACAGGTGATATCTTCTATGATGCCATGGCTGTTTGTAGACAAAGTAGGGGGTAGCATCGCATCATTACCCTTCCCGCACCATCGGCTCATCGGATGGATCTTGTTTTTCTCATTTAGTAGTGGCAGTAATGCCCAAGGTGAAAGTAATCATTCATAATATTTTTATTTTCAAAAACTATATAAAAATAAATGCTTTTAAGTGTCTGATGTTCCTTGAAAACTACCAAATGAGCCTGGTGCAAACAGGGGAAACTGTCATTGCACGCCAACAACCCCATGATCATGTCCACTTACCAATCTTTTTTATCTGCGGGCATTGGGTTAAGGTAACCATAACAGAGCATTTACAAACAACAAACTTAAAACTTTAAATTCTCTCAAAACCTAAGATTATTTTACACAAAAAAATTGGAAAATATGCAAAAATACTGCAGTTCATCTCCAAAGAGACATATGATAACCTGTTACAAGCTTATGCTAAGTAAAAATACATTATACTCTAAAGGTCTAAGGTAACTCATTTTCAGCCCTCTTGTGTTGAAAAGAAATAGCTTAACCTATTAACCCATTCGTCCCAGGTGTCACATATATGGGACACAGGGAAAAAATAAACAGTGTCGGGCTGCCCGCCAGTGCGATGCTGTCTCGGAGCCGTGCTACGCGGCAGAAGCGGCGGGCGGCCGGGCGGGCGGACAGACTCCGGGGAAGCTCCGCCCGCCGATTTTGTAGCTGCCCGGATTTTTTAAATTTTGGCTACAAAATGTACCCCGGCGCGGGTGGGTTAAGAGGAATCATGCTTTTACATCTTGCCAATTAATCACAGACCCCAGATGACACCCATCATGTAAATGAGTCATGTCCCAATTGCCTTCAAAAGTGAAACACAAATATACACCTATTCTTGCTAGACTTTACCTAAACTTCACCCATTATCATTGGGTTCAACATAAAACAGTATCAAGGGAAAGTAAGAGAGTATTCTTACTCATTACTCTAGAAAATCTAATATATGAATTTAAAAGCAACAATTCCTGAGTAAGTTAATTACAGCAAAGGTAACCTGAATAACCAATCAGTTAAACAAATGTTTAATCACATGTATACACAGTAATCTTAAAATAAGTAAATGCACTTGATGACACTTATGTATACAGACTATCCATATCAGTAGCTCTAAGCTTGAGTGTTTGTAATTCCTATCAATATACTTTATAGCATAAAACTTCATAAGAAAGTTTGATAATGAAAAAAATCATGATCTATTTACAACTTTTTTATGAATTACATTCTACCTAAAAATCGTATTTGTTTATCATAGATCAAATAAAGGATTTGCATATAAAATCAAGTAACATCATACAATAACAAACTTAATACAAAAAATATACATTAAACTATTTTCTTTTACTTATATCATACACATAAGAGGACTGTACAGAATTTATAGAGAAGGTTTCTGTAAACTCCTTCAAGAATCACATTTTATATGAGCATTACAGTTAGCGTGAAACTTCATCTTTCCCAATGTCAATAATGGGTCATGGACAAAGTGGAATAAGAGATCTCTCCTTATATTGTTAATTTTTTGGGGTGCATGCATAGAGAGAATCTGAGCTTGGGAAACGATACATACTGGACAAATGCTAAATAGCCTCCTACTCTGCCCTTCTCCCAAGGACAGCCGTCTTAGACCAAGTGGATACAAACCGCTTTGGCATTTTTTTCCCCCTAGCTATCTTTATGGCCTTTTCATTCCCTTCTGACCTCGGAACTACCCTAAAGCACTCTTTTTTTAGATTCTTTCTAGAGTCCTGTAATACCTGTCTGCATAACCTATACTTCCAAACGTTACCAATAATTCTTCTTCGATTCTTTTTCCTGCGAACCTTTAGTTTGTGCATAACATTATACCTGCGTCTCCTTGCTCGATATCTAAGTCTCTGACATTTGCAGACATCATAACACACTTTTCCTAAAAATACTCTTCTACCATCTCTTCTTATATGAACCTTCCTTATACACTTTTTCTGCAATGAACCTTGACCCTGTTTCTGATTATTCAATTCAACATCTGATGTTTGACCCCTTTTTGATATCTCCTTGCTTCTTTCATTTTTATCCTCTAAGTTTTTTAGACTAATACCTGCCTGTGAGCTGCCTCCTCCTATTGATTCCCATGAAAACATTTGCCTCTGTGCTCTCTCTCCTACCTCTGGTATTAAAACCTCTTCCTGTAAAGGTATATTAGGCTCTTCTGAAACAGAAATGATTTCTGAAGATTCTGAGATTTGTTCACTGTATAACTTAGCCTCTACCACTGGACCTTTGTTTTTCATACTACGTCCAGTGAAATAGCTACCATCTTCAACTTTCTGGATACCTCCCCACAACATTCCTCCATCCCTTTCTAACTGTCTATCCACAAAGATTCCAGAGGTCCTATTTATATTCTGTGATAGAGTATGGTCTATCTCCCTACCCAATTCCTGTCTATGAACACTATGCTCATCCCATGAGAAAAAGCCTCTCCCCATTTCCTCCTCCTCTGCCCTATGTGACGGCTGCCCTTTCCAGAAGAGCTGCCTCGTCACCTCAGTCCTTACACCAAGAACAGGTGATACCACAATCTTTCCTGAAGGCAGTATTCAAGAATTACAGAAGCACACAATTTTGATGTCAATTTACAGAAACTGTAGTACACAAAATTGCAACCACCTTCTTCATAATTTTACTCACAAATTCAAAAAAACTACTAGTGCACATTCTACAATAGTATCTGTCTAAAAAATATTCAATGTCTACAAGATAAACTACACCTACAAAAAAATCTACTTACAAGTACTACTCCACTTGCAATCAGCAATATTCAAAATTTAGGCATAAACTGCACAACATATATAATATAAAAAAGTAGTTATCAAGACAATGCTTTCTAAATTGTGTGAAACCAAATACTTTCTTTGCAACAAACTGAGATTTAGAATTAATAACATACAAACCTTGGAAAAAAGCTTCACAGTTAAATTAATGATACAATGAACTTTAGGATAAAGGTGGTGCAAAATGCTGAAAAGTAACTTAAAGTAACTCCAACATAAAGTCTAATAGTATGAAATAAAGAGAAAATACAAGACAGTGGCTCTTTCACTTGAAAAGTTTGTGTGAAGATCAACATGCTAGAGAAATGAAGTCAATAGCAGTCCAACAAACTCCTTTTACAGAAAGTAAAAGTAATGACAACAATCACCTTTAAAAGGAAAGTTTGCTTTCCTTTATTTCACACTTATTGTATAATAAAGTTACTGCATAACCTTTACCTATAATCATGAAATACAGCCAAAGCATTTTACAAATTCATGTTTCATAATACAATAGAAAGGATTAGGATACAAATATTGCATTTCTTCTGTTTGATAAGTAAATATAATTTTGTAATCAAAATATGAATGACAGAACATCATAGACAACTAAATAAAATGAGAATATAGAACATACTAATCAAAGATCAAATGCTTCTAAAGATCTGTTTACTCAATACAAAAAGCTAAAATATTTACATACCTTGAACTTTCCGGTAAAAAGAGTTTTTACCAGCTATAGGAAGTGGATGTGCTTCTGTATTGAAGACCCATTCATCTAAACTCATGAGTGAATCGTCCGAGAAGATTAAGTAGAGGTACTGTAAAATGAAATTCCTTTACAACATTGCAAGTTATGCACATATATTCATTTAAATTTTGTGCTACTCAATGCCAATACCACATATATGCATTCTGAGGCATTTTGAGCCTCCTGAGCATCCTTAGATCTTACTAATTAAAACTTTTCTAAACAATCCTTCTATGTACTCTGTTTGCTTTCTAAATATGTACTATGTTTGCTTTCTATATTATATATATATAAAGAATGCAAATACAACTAAAGCTAATTAAATACAGATGTATTCTAGACAATTTGGCAATGCATTGAAGAAAATCAAAAAGAGCAATAATGGGGATCCCTATCATTTGTTGACTCTTTATTCATCATTTCACTCTTTTGTCATTGAATTATATGGATGCATCATTATTTTTGCAATGAATTCATTCTTTTATCATAGAATTATATGGATGCATCATTAATTGCATTTCACTCTTTTGTTGTTAGGGTTCCAAAAGTTTACACACATATTGGCAAATCTGTTAAAAAATAATCAGAAGCAAAAAATGAAAGCTTAAATATGAAATTCAATAAAAATAAAATAACACAAATTCCAGTATATGTATACATCTAACAAAAGTGAAACAGGCTGATGCCTCCACAACTGCACAATCTCAGGTTCTGCTGAGTGTAAGTATTGATTTACCTCCCAGAATTGTTAATAATGCCTGATGCAAACCCATCCAATACTTGACACACTGTTTGATGCTAGATTAGGAAACAGAAATAACAAAAAGGAATAAATGCAGTGAATGCACTGCTGATATTGGACATTCAAATGAGCATCCTCACCCATCCACCACAACCACTCCTAATTCCTTCACAAGAAACCTGGTTGAAAATGAAAACAAGACAGTTAATGTAAAGGATGATGATCTTCCCTCATCTAAATATCCATAGTCTAACCCTTATACCTGTCATCTCTGCCATACGCCAGTGGCCCTCCCTCCAAACTCCTGTTGTGTGCATAATAATTACACAATTAACTTCTATTAGAATAAAAATATAAGTATTACTCTTCAAGTATTTTGTCAAAGAATGTACATAGAGACGGAGTAAACCACTGAATATTACAGTCCCAGTCCACAATACACCCTTTTATAATGTACTCCTATAGTTACTGTGTCGCAATTCATCATATTCTTGTGGTCTGCATTATTGATAACTAACAGGATCCCCTGTATATCTAATATATAAATGATGGCAATACATCATTTCAAGGCTCATATAGCGAGATATTCAGAAAACAGAAAAAAAATGTATATGATGCTCATTCTCTTTTTTTGCTCATCATATAATAAGGAATATATCTAAAGGCTAAAAGGCTAAAAGCTGATTATTGATTGGAAACAAAAATATGGATAAACAGCATTACTGTTCCAATAATATCAATTTAAACTCAAATTCACGACATCGCAAGTCAAGCAGTAGGCAAAACAACAGAGTAACTGATTTTGAACATACTGAAGATGCTGACATCAATGAACCTCACAAATTAAGCTAGAACAAATTGAACATGAGATGAACAATAATTAATTTGATGCATGGAACTCTCAAGATAGATGCCTGAGGTTTCACAAGCACTTAGCCACCAAGAAGTCAAAGACGAGGCCTACCTAATGTCACCTGTTTAGCCCATTCTTTGAATTTTCCGGAAAGAGATTTCATAACTATCACTGTTATTAACCCATTAGTGACAGGTGTCCCATATATAAGACACCAGAAAAATAAACAATGCCGGGCGTCCCACCAGTGTGACGCTGTATCGGGGCTTGCGCTCCGACGCAGCAGCGGGCCATGGCCGAAGGGCGGACAGATTCCTAGGAAGCTCCGCCTGCCGATTTTGTAGCCGCCCGGAATATTTTATTTTTGGCTTCAAAATATACCGGCGTGAATGGGTTAATGTTATGTACATTATTTTTATCATTATTACTAGTATCATAATATTATGACCAATAATAACAGTGATCAACATGAGCACAGATCAAAAATTCCAAAAATGGGATTAAGCCAATACTGACAGGCACTTTAAAGTACCAAATTACACCAAGCACTGGACACCTAGTAGCAAAAAAAATGACTGTAGGTCCTAAATCTCTGCTATAGTGGCCAAACAAAAAAAATTTTTTAGCATGCACAACTTGGAATGGGTATGGGTGTACATGCCAGCCGGAAAAGACACCAGTCTTTCAAAAACATGTACATACATGCCACCCAAACCATTGGCCGATAATTCTCATGACTGCAAGTTCCTGTCACTCCTGGCCCTCAGCCAAATTTTCCCATGATGGCATGATCACATCCATCCTTCAGGCAATTTTTTTTTTTTTTTTAACGAGGAGATGGTCATAGGGATTAAAAACAATGCTGCCACATGGCTTCAAGTTACTTTTACACACTATCAACTTGAATGAGCCACATAATTTTTCTTTCATTTGCAGGCACAAGTTCATACTTTATGAAATATACTAACAATGAACGGATAAAAGAAAGCCAGTTTCATGGACATCAAAGGCATCAAATCAAATATTCATCAGCACTGCTAATAATTTTCTACTGACCTTAAATGTTTCAGCAAAAACAAAGCTTTGTTGTACATCATCCTTTTGTGGATTTTCCATATACACATTCTGAATTCCACTGTATCCAGCCTCAGTCCGACAGTACTTTTCCAAGGCCTGAAAGTCATATTTAAGTTAGTAATGAAATGACTACCAAATATTAAGAAGGCCAAAACACTCTTTAAAATGATAAGATACAATAATGTACGACATAAATCTACTGTTGATTTAAAGTTAAACAAATCCATTTAAGTATTAACCTTATGACCATGGATGGCACTTGCAGTTTGGGAAAATTTTAAATTTTTAAAACTTTTGTTCATGAAATAGAGCTAAAAACTATTAGCTGCCTAATATTATGCTTCAAGTACTGAACAAACAGGGTGCAAAGTGAGGAACCAATAACCTATAACTAGCTACTAGCTTATTCTTAATAATGTGGTTATTGGTTTAAGATTATAAAAAAGGATATTACACTTAAGTGAAATAGGAAACTGATCACACTGCACAGTCTCAAAATTCCTTACCAAAACAGCATTCCAAGCCCATTCCCGATACTTGGGATCCTTAGTATATCGCCACATGTAGAACCAACTCTCAATCACTTCAGGCCGGAGGATATAGTACTTCTCAGAAGATTTTAGAGCACGTGCCTCTATACCCTCTGTGAACCTAAAGCTTTCTGGGCCAAGACCAGTAGGGGTGCGTGCATATGATTCATGACAAGTGTTGGCAAGACCCTCTGCAATTTCTAAGTGTGTTGTTGAAACTTGATTATTGATGCTCTTTGCTCCCAAAGCATACATTCCACCTGTAAAATAAACAGGCATTCACATTTTTATGAAAATGGCATGTAAAAGTATTTCATCTCTTACTTGTATCACATTCTACTTTATGGGTCATTTATCAATGGTCTGCTAAAAGAACTGAGCACTGTGGTAAATGACAGTGATTATAAAAAATAAAAAAAATAGAAAGGAAAAAAAATGCTGCAAACAAAATAAGCTCCAAGGCTTCAAAATTACTTAATTTTAAAATTATTACATTTCACCAATTTGATTATAAATATTATAGAGTATGTGCAACTGCAAACAACTATATTGAAAGTGTAGCTTAAAAAATATGGATTATATTTGAGCGGACACTTTTAATAATACACTAAAACCATTTATATATCCCCTTAGTTAAACTTTGATTTTTTTTGTATATGATATCCAAAACAAATAACTCTTCACTAAACCTAATTCAACATTTGAAAACCCAGAATATTGGTAATTAACCCATTTACAATGGGTGTCCCATATGTAAGACACCCAGAAAAATATACATCGACGAATACGGCCCGGTGAATGGGCAGATTCCAGGCCAGCCCTGTGCGTCAATTTTGTAGCCACCTGGAAACTATTAATTTTGGCTTCAAAATATATCAGCATTAGTGGTTTAACATTTGGATCTACTATTCATTTCTCACCTGCAAAACAAGCAAGATGATCCATCTTGTGCTCAAGACGGTCAAATTTGCTCTCAGCCAAGTAAGTCAGGCCAGTGTGTGACTTCAAGACTAAACGATTTGTGATCACTCCAATGGCTTCCTCATACATCTCCTTGGCCACTTCATCCTTGCCCCCAGACTGGATGTATGCTTTTAGTAAATATTCATAAAAGCTGTCTCCCAGTGCTCCAACAGAGGTGTGGCCTAAAAAAAAATGAGACTTCAGAATACATATCATTGAAGAATATTGTTGGCTGATAACTTTCAGTAAATAAAGCTGCCATAAATATGAAGAAAAAAAATTCTATCCTAGAATTATATAATACAACCATTGCATACATGGAGTTGAGTAAATAAGACACTTACGTTGGCCCCACTTCCCAGTTTTGGGATTCATGTAGTTTGGATAAAGACCACCAGGACGGTCTGTTTTCCTGATAACATCACGAATTCGCATGACCTTTTCACGGAAAATTGGGTCTCCAGATATGTCAGACAGGTACACGAACTCAAGATGCAGGGTTCCAAACTCAGACAAAATGCTTGATCCTCCACTTGCCCAAGCATAATTTTTGGCAATCTGTTAATGGTTTATTTATCAAATATTAATGTATAAAACTTAAATATCATATCAAATGCAATCAAGAAACACCCTCACCTCATATATCCTTCTAGGCCTTGAAATGTAAGCATATAAATATATACAAACAGTGCAAGTGATGAAGTTTTGTCTATCATTTCAAAAGCAACAGTAGAGTACTAGCCCAACAGAGTCTGCCAGTAATATCCCTCAACTTTTTCAACTTACCCCATTAGCAACATTGATGAGCGCATAAGGTATACCAGTTGGAGTGTCGAAAGCTGGCAGAAGCTTTCGTGCAATGTGAAGAGCCCTGTCTCTGAACAACATATCCCCAGTCAAGGCATATACAGAAAGTAAGCCTCCAACAAATCGGATATTTGTCTCAAAAACAGACATCTCTGATCTCTGTAAATCAAACACAAAAATTAGGTCTATCCCAAACTTACAAACAATATCAAAATTCATGAAACTTTTAAAAACTATACTGCAAAAATTCTTGCTAGTCCATGCAACTGGCTGATAATCAAATACATTCAAATACAGCAAGTTGTTTTAATATTATAAAGAGGAAAAAATGAATAAAACAAATAACATCTAAACCTGTAGAGATAATCTGCACATAAACTCTTCCCATAATGTCAAGTGTTGGATACAATAACCTCACCTAGCATTAATTAAACACATAATCAAACAGAGTCATAACATAGGAGTGCAGTAATTAACACTGGGCTATGACTCAGACTGATAAAATGTATAGCTGCATATCAAAGGACACTTTATACCTCCAGTCAAAATATCTTACTAAAAGTGTTGTATAATTACAGTATAGTTTCTCTAACTATAAAGGATGTTATGAAATTAATATAGGCAAATAAATGAGAAAGAATGACCGAGTGGGAGAAAAACTAAAGAGAATGAAAGAGAAATTTGAATGTGAAAGAGTGAAAGAAGTGAATGCAAGAGAACAAGAAGTGAATAAAAGAGCAAGAAATAAATAATAGAGAAAAAATGAAAAATAAGTGAATGAAAGAGAGAAAGAAAGTGAATGAGTGAGTGACAGAGATTGTGAAGGAGTAAGTGAAAGAGAGATTGTGAATGAATGAGTGACAGAGATTGTGAATTAATGAGTGACAGAGATTGTGAATTAATGAGTGACAGAGAGATTGTGAATGAGTGAGTGACAGAGAAATTGTGAATGAGTGAGTGACACAGAATTTGTGAATGAGTGAGTGACACAGAAATTGTGAATGAGTGAGTGACACAGAAATTGTGAATGAGTGAGTGACACAGAAATTGTGAATGAGTGAGTTTGTGAATGAGTGAGTGACACAAATTGTGAATGAGTGAGTGACACAATTGTGAATGAGTGAGTGACACAGTGTGAATAAGTGAGTGACAGAATTGTGAATGAGTGAGTGACACAAATTGTGAATGAGTGAGTGACACAGAGACTGTGAATAAGTGAGTGACACAGAGATTGTGAATGGGTGAGTGACAGATATTGTAAAAGAGTGAGTGACAGAGAATGTGAATGAATGAATGAGTGTGTAAGTGAGAGATAGTAAACGAGTGGGTGAGAGAGAGATAGGGAATGATGAGAATGAGAGAGACAGTGAATGAGTGAGAGAGACAGTGAATGAGTGAGAGAGACAGTGAATGAGTGAGAGAGACAGTGAATGAGTGAGAGAGAGAGACTGAATGAATGAGAGAGAGAGAGTGAGAGAGAGAGAGAGTGAGAGAGAGAGAGAGAGAGAGAGAATGAGAGAGAGAGAGAGAGACAGTGAATGAGAGAGAGAGAGAGAGAGAGAGAGAGGAGAGGAGACAGGAGAGAGAGAGAGAGAGAGAGTGAAGAGAGAGAGAGAAGAGAGACAGTGAATGAGAGAGAGAGAGAGAGAGAGTGAGAGAGAGAGAGAGAGAGAGAGAGAGAGAGAGAGAGAGTGAATGAGAGAGAGAGAGAGAGAGACAGAGAGAGAGAGATGAGAGAGAGAGAGAGAGAGAGACAGTGAGAGAGAGAGAGAGAGAGACAGAGAGAGAGAGAGATGAGAGAGAGAGAGAGAGAGAGTGAATGAGAGAGAGAGAGAGAGGACAGTGAATGAGAGAGAGAGAAGAGAGAGAACAGTGAATGAGAGAGAGAGAGAGAGAGAGAGAGAGACAGTGAATGAGAGAGAGAGAGAGAGAGAGAGAGAGAGTGAATGAGAGAGAGAGAGAGAGAGAGAGAGGAGAGAGACAGTGAATGAGAGAGAGAGAGAGAGAGAGACAGTTGAATGAGAGAGAGAGAGAGAGAGACAGTGAATGAGAGAGAGAGAGAGAGAGAGAGAATGAGAGAGAGAGAGAGAGAGAGTGAATGAGAGAGAGAGAGAGAGACAGTGAGAGAGAGAGAGAGAGACAGTGAGAGAGAGAGAGAGAGAGACAGTGAATGAGAGATGAATGAGAGAGAGAGAGAGAGACAGTGAATGAGAGAGAGAGAGAGAGAGACAGTGAATGAGAGAGAGAGAGACAGTGAATGAGAGAGAGAGAGACAGTGAATGAGAGAGAGAGAGACAGTGAATGGGTGAGAGAGAGACAGTGAATGGGTGAGAGAGAGACAGTGAATGGGTGAGAGACAGTGAATGAGAGAGAGAGAATGAATACAAGGGAAATAGTGAATGAGTGAGATTGCCAATGAGAGAGAGACAGAATGCAAGAGATAGTGAGTGAGAGAATGAGAGAATGAATGAGAACAAGTGAAAAACAGATAGTGAATGAGTGAGTGAGAAAGTGAATGACAGACAAAGGAAGTGAATAAGTGATACAGAAAAAAAGTGAATAAGTGAGAAACAAAAGGGAATAAGTAAGAGAAAAAAAGTGGCTGAGAAAAGATGAATGAAAACAAGCAAATAACACAAATCAAAATAAAAAGAACGGGAGCACAAAATGTAAAATAAAAGGAACATAGAAAATGAAATATGCAGGATCAAAAAGGAACAATGCCAAGAAAATAAAAGAGAATAAGAAAAAAAAAATGGATATAGATAGGCCAGAATATAGTCCATACATAGATAAAGATGCACACAAAGTTGATAAGTTTAAGTAACTGCTCAATGAAAAACAGAAAATAACACTAACTCTCTTTAACAAATCATTCATAAATCCTAACTGTAGTATTGTGTAGAAATTTGCACTCTCGTTGCTTATTTGTAGCATATTAGAGCTGCACATCCTAGTCAATGCCCAACTAAACAAGATGTTTGCATAAGGCTTCAACACAATATATATACATCTTTGTTTTTTGTAAGGCTATGTGCTCTTTACCAAATGCAAACCATTACCACACACTCATTTCCATGGCATTTTCATTTCATATTTTACATATGCTATGATCTGACTTTCATTTATCAAATTATTCTTTAACAATATGAAATTCACAACACAAACTGTTGATAACTGCAATTTCATAATCTGATAAAATCTATGAAAATTAATTCACATTACATTCATATTTCTTAAAAGTAAACAATAATAAGGCAAAAAAAAAAAAAAAAAAAAAATGTTACTAATAAAAGTCTAAAAAAAGTAATTGCTGTAGAAAAATAAATTTTCATTTCAAGCTCTACTTTCTAACCAATAATATATAAATATATAACCAATATATAAATTCCATAAGAACACTAGAAAGTACATACTTATACACAAGTCAATTGAATGTTCAAATTTACATAGAACTCACCAGCTGATTGAAATCTAAATTATATTGCACCCATGCATGCCCTTCATTGTACTCCTCCATACACCCCATAATGTACAGGGTATCAAGAGCATCCACAATTGTTGCCCCCATATCCTCTCTTCCGAAGATTCCAGCAGTGTGGCCTCGTTTGCTGACTGGTCGTAATTCGTTCTTTCCCCATGCATAGGTCTTGTAGCCTCGCCATGCATGTAGCACCATCTGACAATAAAAAAAGAGTTATTTGTTATAGCATTATAAATGTGAAATATAGTAGTGACTACTGGGGAAATAATATCTGTA